ATGTGGTCTCGATTTTTATAGTCAGTTTAAGGTTATTCGCCCACTTCTTAGATGGGTTGGCCAAGAAAACAGATGGCCAGTCGGAAAAGGAAAACCACGGGAAAAGTGGAAACATATAAATGACTAATTAGGCAGATGGTTTCTCCCGTCCGGCCTTCTTGGAGAGGGGTATGTTGTGGTCAACGCACTTCCGTGGGAATGACACTTAGTCGGACCCAACATCTTCAAATGGCATTCTAACAGGGTCCGACAAATTTATTAGTGAACGGTCACAATGGAAGTTTGTGTGCGCAACAATATTTACAACGAACGATTAGGATGACGCTTCAAGAGCTCCGTAGTTCTGGATAAAATAATGATATTCGTAACCGTCACATTAGGTAACATTTTTGTCAATGCAAACGAAATTTTCAGTAATCAAAGAGACGATCCAGCCACATCTTTTCAGAGGTCAAAGCTTGCCTAACGGCGTTTTGTGACAAAGTTGTGCATGAAATCAAGTTGTCTCTCCGCTCTATCTACAGCGCCCTCTACATGCAAGAAAACCTCACAACCAGAGCGTGCGTTACCGCTGCCCTTTTTCAAAATATGATTTTCTCTAAACATGGTCTCAAATCTCGCCCTCGTGTGGCAAAAGTGTTCGCTGTTGAGACCTAACGACAAAAATTGGAGTTTTTCCTCATATTTCATGATATTCAAAACACACTGCACTGGACTCTACAAATTATCAACCCAGGCAACCAATTTTGTAAACCTAACTAACGGGAGAGGAAGCCAAGATAGGATGGAATGGGGTATGGGATTGGATGGGTTATGGATTGGGATGGTACTCGGTCGGCTGGTATTGGATTGGAGGTGCGGCTGGGATAGTTAGGAATGAGACAGGAGCCTTGGAGGGATATGAGGTTGGGCATGGAACTCAGGGATGGGACCTCATTTGGGGTGGCAAAGGCATCGCGATCAACCATGCTGTCCCCCGCGTCTAGTTCCTTGTTAAGTAGAGCGTTATGGAACACACTGTTAATGTAACCATTTAATCTTTCATCATGTTCGCAAATTCGGAAATAACTTTCATGTTAAAAAAAATTCCTGAAGACGACTACAGTGTGAGGATTAGGCTGCTGGTGGTGTTTTCCGCAGAATTGGTCGCTTTTTCATTGGTTTGGGGGATGTCACTGGATAGATCATGGCTACAGGTGGTCTTCGCTGACTTAGTTTCTGGAGAGCGATACAGTCCGAGAAGTTTGGGAGCGGGAGGATGAAAGGCTGTTTGTGGGTGAGCTACGGGAGACTTGGTCAACGAGGGAAAGGAAAGGGTGAGCCTTTCTCGGTACATTGGGTTGTGTACAACACTTAGTCTCTGGATGGCTAGGAAATCTACACATAATTCTTTCGGGGTAAAACTGTGGGTGAGCGGAGGTAATTGACCTCGCTGTGCCGTAACCGGACACAGGCTTTCGGTGAGTGGTTTGGCGGGACACATACGCTATAAGTGGGGTCTTTGTGGGTCGAATGTACGGGTCATATGTGTGATTGAGAGAAAGATTTGGGGGAAAATGACAAAGTTGGAAGTGTTCTTCGGAGTTGCGATTCAAGATCGCAGCATAGTGCAACCGGGTCGCGCATGGAATGCAATGCACTGTGGTCAATGCGTGTAATCTATATGGTCATTGCGGGCTCGCTGAGTGGTGTGTGTATAGCGTGTACGTTACAATCTACATGCATATAGGAGAACAGTTTGTGGAAGCGACTTATTCAAGTGAGACTTTCTGGCCAGCTGATTAGCATTGAAAGTGCCCTCATTATATTTTGAAAAAGGAGACTTGTTTGGACCCCAAAATGGTACGATTTTGTAAATTGTTGCCAGGATCAACTGCCCTGGGTCTTTGAGGTTTCATATGAGAGCACAATGGCTAAAAACGTCGGTTGACAAATGGTCCTAAGTGCCCGAGAAAGTTGAGGGTTGCCACTTGAAAAAGAGCAATCAGACTTCGGAAAAATCACTTTTCGTTGGAGGATTTTGTCTCGTTGGAGTAATTAAAATGTAATCTGTTTACCTACCAGAAAATGAAAAGAAAGTGAAAGATAAGGCACCAGACAGTAATTGAATATTTTTTTCCGAAATTTCAGGGATGTTGGTATGCATGTTATTGAGCCCTGATGAACAACACTTTTTTTCCAGTGGGGCTTGAGTTGATGGACTGCACCCGTACTGCTACAATCCTGGACACAAGTGTTGGGACACTTGTCCATAGCCGTACCCTTTGCAGGTCCCCCACCTCCCCGGTCACTTTTGTCATCTCCAACTGAAGCTCAGGTAGTGAATTGGGACTCAACATTGAGAGGAGGCCAGGGGTGTTGGCCAGGATTGTAAATGCAATTTTGCACGCCCCTTTATCACGAATGGAAGAGGCAAACAGTACGTTTTGCAGTCCGTTGTATGCGCGGCGGCGCGGCCTTCCGTCCATCCAGCCAGCTGTGACCTTCACGCTAGCGATCATACAATGGCCCTATGCAACCAAACCGACGCAGAATTATAACCCCTGCATGAAAACAGACCCTGACAGGTTTATTTGTTAAATATCTAAAGAGTGGGCATCAAGGCTGCACTATGCACGACTCGATAGCCTCATGGCCAGAAGGACAAACTCCCCATTTATAAAATAAAATCTTGTTTGAGGTGCCCTGTAACCATGGAGCTATGTACAGTGTACAAACTAATAATTACGCGGCTCGTTTCGAAAAGGCCGCCGTCTAAACTCGAAAACGACTTCCTCTCTGTAGATAATGTCTTTGTGTAAGATGAGACTGAGTAGGAGTGAAGACGAAAGGACTTAAGAATTAAGAATATTCCAGGATTTCGACAATTGCCGACGTCGGGCGAACGTATCCTTGATACTGGGTTAAAAATCTCACTTACCCGTTTTTAAATCGGCATCAGGTAATATGAATAATTTTAACCCTGCCTGGACACTGGAAACTGACATTTCCTATCCGGCCACGCCTACATCCGGCTGAAAGCGTTCGTTATCTGATGCATCAAGGACACGCTTAAGGGTGCACCCCTAAAACTAAATTTCCATAGACAGCAGTACTGTGATAAATCCCCATACTTCACAAATATCTTACAAATAAATACTCACAACTCTCGCAGGTGTTCAGGCTGCACAGAAACATGAAGTTCCACATGTCCTCTTTCATTTTACTTTCAATTTTTAGTGGGTTGACCAATGATTTTGTGAGATACTCTCACACAAAGCAGACCACCCCTAAAATGAAGGAAATTTCACTGCCCGGGAGAGTAGCCTTTTTGAAAAATGCATCCCTCTGCAAAATGGCTCAAATAGTGCCACCTTTGGACCCGATTGCATCCCAATTGCTCAGAATTGGAAGCCCTGAGTCTGGCCCAGAGGTCCAGTCTCATATCTCTTCAATTCCTCAGTTCCATGGCGCTCAGGACCCTCTAATATACAGAATGTCCACATAAAACGGTATATAGCTTGTGGTGTTATTGACACAGATGAGTGAACAAACCAGACCGATGTTAAGGTTACTGAAATCGGGACTGTGACAAGTTCGCATATGTGATTAACAGGCGAGACCATGCAAGTGTACCGTCGCCCTTCTGCAAGTGTGCATAGTCTGGCTGCGGCATTACCATAGTATGACTGCGGCCACTAACATAGTCTTGTGCATAGTTTCAGACCACTAATTTGCACACCGCCTCACACGCAAAGAGCCTGCATTCCCAGTCTGGTTCCCAAATGAAGTTATAAACTGTTTTGAGAGATCCTATGGGCGATTTACTTACACAACAGTCTGGGAAACCGACAAGGCTAACATCCCTGTAGGCCTAGCGGGAAGTGGTTTTCTTGCCTTGTTTTGAGAGGAGACTAGCCTTGACGCCTCGTGAGCTTCAGGCTGCTGATATTCCGGAATTTTTCCCCTTTGTGCAAAAAGAAAAAAAAATGGTTGAATCAAGTGGATCCAACTGAAAACAAAAATTTATCAAGAATGCTAAAACCAGTCTCCTCTCAAAACAACTCAAGAAAACCACTTCCCGTAGGCTAGGATTCAGAAAGTGCATGGTAAATCCACAGAAGGTTGTGTAATAAAAAACTTCCCATTTAAGTCTCTGAACTTTTGATTCGTCGATCTCATGGCAAAATGAGGTCATTATGTTGTTATTATTGTGCGTGAATAAATTGCCTCGTTTTAAATTTCCCACATAAATCACAATTCAAGAGAAGTTCTGGATTTTGCTTGTCATTTTTTGGCAAACCGACCTCCAGTTTTGCAAAACTTGAACAGCGCTGTTTGAAAAAAACACTTTAATTTCGCTCTTCGTCGTCTAAAGCGTCATAGATATTACGTCCTGTGTAATTTTTATTGGCTGTTGGCTACCTGCTGTCAATACGAGCTGTGAAAAAGAAATCCTCCCCATCCACAAACAATCTCGACACAGGATTCGAACCCACACCCCACAGACCTCAAACCAATGATGCTGTAACTGCTTGACTACCACAGCTCACACAAATTACTGGTGTGTTTTTACTGCTTATATACATGCAGGGGCCTACTGTAATACCGATATGAACGACAGCAACACGAGTCTAATATTACGGTGGACATGCGCAATATATACCTGTACGCAACCACGGTGGTCGGGCTTCATATTGATTGCATATCTCGTCAATACCATTGACACGGCAGGGGCCCAGCCACTGTGAATACAAATAGAAATTGATTACGTATCGTCGCTGCGTTCCGATCGACTCAATGGCGTATCCAACAGGGCAGGGGGCAACTTACCTCGACCAAGGACTTCTTTTGAAACAGAGTACTTCATGGGTATAAGAAAGTTATCGGTATATTTATTTATCAAATACACGTATTAGCGCCAACATCCTAAAAAAGAAATAAAAACAAGGATTTGAGGACCGCGAGTACGGCTTTTGATTTTTTTTCTCCTGAACACCGTGTTTAATGAGCCCAAAGCCGCATTCGCTCATGAAAGTTGAATCCTCCCAAAATCAAAAGCTGGGTTCGCCCCTGGCTCCACTTCGGGGACCAGCTATGGAGTCGAAACATGACATATTTTAATGTTCCAGTACGGAGACGATTCAGAACGGCCGCTGTTAAGCTCTTCCACGGTAGGCCTACCCTTGTCCAGTTTCCAAAGGCGCTTGGAGTTGGAGGAAGCCACAAACCCACCCATGCATACTGTAACCAACCGGACACAAAAGATGCTCTTTCTCTTGCTAGCATTGTGGTACGTTTCCATACGCACTTCGGGGTGTAACTCTGTTTTCGGAGCATCGATGCTATAAGGTGAAAAGTCCGAAAGAGCACGGAACGGTTTTGCTCATTGTGCTCATTGGATGAGAATACTGGGCTGGTTTCGAATTAAACCCCGGGCCAGCAATTTGAGTGTGGCCACTTGAAATAGTGGAAGGCTCGCCAATTAAATCGCACAGTCCAAGGCCGTCATAATAAACAGTAAACACCGACCAAGGTGACGTCACACTTTCAGTTGACCAAGGACAGTGCACCCAAGGGACGTCCGTGTCAAAGCTTGCCCGTTGAATTCAGCATGAATGTGTTAAGCTTGTCACAGTCGACTTCACTGAAGTCCCTGTAACAATGCAAGCAAAGAACAGGAAACACGTATCAGGGGCGGGTCTGGAGCTAAGAGGGGAAGGTTTTAGAATTTTTTTTGGATAGGGGACAATTATTATAGTTGTCGATTATGGTTGTTGCCGTAGGCAGATCATTTAATGTCTTTATTTTCGTACATGCATACGGAGACTCTTACGCTCTAAAAACACATGGATCAGACTGATCCGGAATCTGGGTCCTATGGGGCCAGATCCCTTTCTGGGTCAAATATGACCCCAAAACAGGTCATAATTTCAATGGTTTAGAGGGCTTCGATCTTGGAACAATGTGGCGAGGTTATTATTAATTTAACTAACAACAAACAGTAAACATATCGAAGAGCATCTGAAGCTACAAAACGTCTGTTTTCCACTGTCGGCTTGCTGATGTTTCTATTATGTTTTAATATTACAGTGATCATTTGCACGCTTGAACAAAAATCCTATCCCTGAGGTCAAGGTTACTTACGGCCACACTGCAATCAAGTGGGGTTTTTCTGTCCCTCGCAGGTCACCAGGTGAATCGCCCAACTGTGGGCCACCCGACTGCGATGAATGAAATATCATTTGAGTAAACTGTCCATTTTACTCAAAGTACTGTTAAAAATGTTCCTTATACGACCACTTTTTTATCTATCGTTTTGATGTCTGGCCCAACAGTTCACTTGTATCCCGCCTCAGGCAAAACAATTTAATTGCCCAGTGAGAAACGTGACGGCGCATGACAAGCTTCACGCCGCGCCCAGAACAATTTTCTTTTCACTTCGCGGAATGATATCTGCTGAAACAAAACGGAAGTTTGGGCTTCTGAAATGCTCCTGAAATCCTAAACTGCAAATCGAACGTATGTTTCGCGAAGGCAATGCCTACATGCCTGCAAATGGTAGCATTTTTACTTGAATTCCAATTAAAAATAAAAGAGAAATTTGTGAAGCACTATTTTTTTCGCGTAAACGGTGGAATGTGGCAGTAAGCAGGTTGGCGTCCTTGCCGCTACTGCCATATTCTTAACATTGCGCGTTCATTTTGCAACACTTCCCTTCTGTTGTCATCCAAGTGCAAGTGGACATTGAAGGCAGACCGATTACAACACTTCTTGCAAGGAAGGAATCTTCAAAGTTGGAGACCTAAAACTCTCGCTCTTGTGGTAAACCAGAAACGAAACCAAGCACCATGAAGGTTCTGCTGCTTTCAATGTTGACGCTCTCCGTCTGTGTGGGTACGTGGTTCTCTCCTTCTTCTGTAGTATTCACTTTCTTTTTTGGAGATGTAGGCCTATATTATATGGAAACAGAAAACCCCATGAAACCTTTACCTTTTACTCGTCACAGGAATCATTAGTAACTTTAATTCCTTTCGATGATTTCGTTAGCTTCTCTTCATAAATGAGAGAAGTTTCAAGCATCATCCAGCCTTAATCAGGTGCACGTGAACTTAAAGTATGAGAATAGAGCTCTGAAGACTTAGTGTCGTGCGGTTTTGTGAAAAAAGAACCAAAATTGTGAATCTCTCTTTTGTCATGTGGAGCGGCACGTATTTACGTATACACCCTTCCACTTTCATGTCTGTTCGTCACACGGATTCGTGAGGCCCTGTCCAATATAATTGGTGTACATGTACAGGACACCCGGTCTTTCTTGTGCTTACAATTTGTCCATCTTGGTCAACTCCTTGCCTTGGGGTTTTAAAAGCGCATAATGACGGCGAGGTCACTCTAGGTCGCGTGTGCCGTCATTGTGCGGCGATCGGTCAGTGGCGCTGGCTTTGCTTACGTCAGAATTGCTGGCCAAGTCAATTAAAAGACGTGTTTGCGGTCCAGGTGAAGTGTACGGAAGCGTTGCACTGCCAAAAACAAAAGGGAAAAAGGCATTTCCATACGGACGCCACTTGATAACCCATGCACAAAACCTATGAAACTGGTCTGAAAAATTTTAAGTGTTTTCGCAGTAAACGACTTGGTATTTTCCCTCTTAATTGAACTTTTCTGGGCATGGTTTTGCTTTCTGACGGCTAACGGGTCACTGTAGGGAATACACTTGTAATTTTTGTCGTCCATATGTGGACTTCTTTCCACTTTCATGTCTGTTCGTCACACGGATTCGTAAAGCCCTGTCCAATATAATAGGTGTACATGTACAGGACACCCGGCCTTTCTTGTGCTTACAATTTGTCCATCTTGGTCAACTCCTTGCCTTGGGGTTTTAATAGCGCATAATGACGGCGAGGTCACTGTAGGGAATACATTTGCAATTTCTAGCGTCAGTATGTGGAATTTTTTTCAAAACGGCGCTTTGGGCTTCATCCTTTTTATACTCCAAAACAAGTCTTAAATGCTTTTCCATGACGCACGTTTAGCTGTGTGAAAACCTCTTAGCATTTTTTGATCATTGAGCGTAATGCGCTCCACTTTAAAATTAAGAGGGTCTTAAGACAGTAACAGAAATGTCAACTTGTATTTTTGAAAAAAGTAACCTTCAAATGGCTCTATTTTCAACGGAATATATATTATAGGGATCAGTTTTCAAGAAATGTTGAGATTCACGACTATTTTTAAGGAAAGTTCATCTCAGGACGGAAATGTCTTCAAAGTTCAAAAGTCATCCGTTAATCTCACAAAAATTAAATAGAACCGGGCTTCCCTAGGCTAGGCAATGAGCTTTAAGTTGATGGACATTTGAACCGCATAGACACACGTGAAACTATTTCTCCTGTTTGTTTCAAGTTTGGGTTCATTTACTCCAGGTTGTTTTTCTGTCACAACTTTTCGTTTACTGCCGGTAGTGCACAGGTCGTGGATCCATGTCGGAACTCAGCTGACCAGATTGGCCCATTATGATAATGCTCTTTTGGTCTGGAATTCCGTTCAGTCTGAGTCTGAGCCGGAGCGGTGGTGTCCTTGGTGCCCTCACGAACCACGGGTGACCAGCGACATGTACTGTACATGTACTCTTAAGGCTTTCCGGTGGTGGCCTCGCCCGTTATCGAACCATAGGGAAATGGCATCCAGACAAAAACATTCTTATCTAAAGACATTCTGTGGTAACAAGGGAACAAAAATAAAATAGACCCCTGCTAAGCCTTCTGGCCCTGCTCGGCAACACCGTTGGTAATCCGACTGCAGAGATTTGATTTGATGGTGGGATGGGTTCGTAAATCGCTATACCAACCATATCGCGTGGCGATATTTATTCTGGGGTCTATGCAATGCAGTTGTTTTAAAGTTCTGATCTTGAAAATGAATTTCACTGTTTCAGTTAAGTGTGTTTTTTTTCTTTTAAACATTGTGTGATTTTGATGCCTCAGTGGTTTTGTTTGTTAATGCCAATTTCCGTATTCATGAGCAGAACTGTGATGTCCTATTCCCCGTAAGGATGCCCCCCCCAATGCCAAAAATTGAGGTACTTTGCTGAGCAACATTTCCATGTCTTTCGGGATTCACTGTTGTGGCCATGAGAACGAGCCATTTTTCAGAAATGTTTTCAGTTCCAGCCTGAACAGAAATTCGTTTATACCGAACATTGTATTCCCCGATCGAGTTACCTCACAACACCAGCCTTGCCTTCAGCTGTCCAGAAAGCTTTGACACTGTTAAAATGTTAAGACGTTGGCAAATAGTTTTTGTACACCGAGATGCGTCCCGGAAAATAGGTAACACCATTGTAAAGCGTGTACCATGATGTAGCACCCTGTCAGAGCCTACGTGTGCCTACCCCAACTGAATTTTCCATCTGTCTTTAGGGTATGCTAACCCAGGATGTGAAGATGGAGCACCCACTATCGCTGGTATCAGGGGTTTCCGGGGGGAGGGTTCATAAATATTGTAGACCATGTACTATGCAACTCGGCAGGATATCCCTATTATAGGAGTTTAAGCTCTCTCGGTTTCCGCATTTCGTTGCGGGCAAAGTGTACATTTACCACTGTCATAGCAGGTCCAACATTGCGTGCTCGTACAGAACCGCGGATTGTAATCTCTTCTGGTATTGAATTATTCTTCGGCCCGGCGTAGACTGGAGTGTTACCAAGAAAGACAACTGAAAGGATTGTCAGTTTGTATTTGTCGAAAACAAAAACGGCCAGAAATGGGCCCTGCACATCGCGCTAGTTTCTTCGATGGGGTGTGGCCATCAACAGGAAAAATTGGGTAGGGTTCAGCGCTTGCAGTTAATGGGAGTAATTAAATGGCTGCAGTGTATGGTCGAATCTCAAAAATGCTCCCCTGTTATATATTCAAACGATGCCCTTTTATCAAAGGTACTTTTGCCGTTGCTCTTTTCCAAAAAAAGTGCATTGATTGTTGAAACATCTGGTCCGCGACAAAAGCTCTAGTTTACGGCGCATTTCAGTTGAAATCCATTGAATTTGTGGCGTCAGCTCATCGCGGTTGAGAACAAAAAGCTCGTGAGATGCTCGGGATTTGAATGACGCATGGGTTGTTGGGAAGAATAGAGAATATCCACAGAATCCACGCACCCTCTACAGGGCAAGACAATGCATTCCACCGGGGAAAAGTTTCCCGCCAGAACATGCATGGAATGCGGAAAACAAAAGTACATTCTTGTGCAGAACGAAAGGGGAAACGAAAACGAAAGTAATTTGACGAGCCGCACCCGTTTACAAAATGGCGCGAACCTGCAGCCTGCATTGTACTTACCTTTGCTTTGAGTCCTTGACCCGATAGGAAAAGGGCAATTGTGTAAGGAGCGTGATTCCCAGAGCCAAATGCTCGTAATGAAATGCTTGAGCTTTGAGTGGGAACTGGAATGTTTGGTAAAAGCAGTGAACTTCTGCGGGCCATCTTCAGAGAGAGACAGAGAGAGACGATCGCTTCGTGTGAGGGAAAAAAAATCCCAGAAGAACTTGCGTGGGAACGCGGAAAACGAAAGTGCATTATTTGGGCAGAACGTGAAGGGGAAACGATCTGAAAATATGTGTCGGCATTGAAAACGAAAATGAAAAGGATTTGCACCTGGATTTGCAAAATAGCGCGAACCTATACACCCCTCTGTGCCCATGGGTAACCTTAAGGTAGACTTCCCCCATCTGACAGGAAAAACAAGTAGGCAATGACAATATTTCTATACCTTTGCATCTACGCGTCACGCTGGTGTTGGCTCTCAGAATGGACGTTGTTAGGTTTTTGGGTGTACGAAACGAAAGAATTTCATCAGCTTTGTGTACATGTATATTGTTGGTCGACCATGTGGAAACCTCGTTAGGGTCTTTCCCACCGAAGAGATGTGTGGAAAGTGTGACTTCAATTATAAACACTCCTTTGTCCATAGAAGTGCATGATGTTATTTAAGTGCTACCGATAATTAGGCTGGGATTTAATGTTGTACAGACGTTAACTTGGATCTTTAAAATGTAGCAGCGTTGCATTTCGTAGCCACAACTTTTCTTAAACTTTGTGCTGTTGTGTGAAAATTATTTAGCGTCCCCGTTCGGCTAAGTGAATCGAAGGAAGAAATAATCATCCATGTTTTCCTGGCCCACTGAGGGCGGTGTTGCTGTGATTTCAACTGGAGAAACATCGTTGACGGAATAGGTTTTTCTAATCCAAATGTGAACGCAAAATTTACGAACTGAAAGCATTTCTGAGATAGGGTCACTTGCTTGCCTATTGCTGTGCACCCATAGCAATACATAACCAGAGGAAAGCAAATTTAGGCTAGGAAAACCTTCCCAGCAGTCATTTGAGCCTGTATCAGGATAGCATTGAGGTTTTCTTTCCGGGATTACACCTCGGTTTTGCTCATGAATATGGAGATACTGATTAACATAACCATAAAGGCTGAGCAGTACCCTTTACAATATTAAACAAAACGCAAATGATTATGAGATGAGCTGAGACACCAAGGTGCATATTTAAATTTTATCTTTGCTTCCCTTTATACAGACATACAGACATTTTTGATGAAAAAGTACAAATAAGTTGCACTTAAAATTGCACTCATTTTACAGACGATTTTGTCGATCACCTTTGCCACGTGTTAAAGTGAAACCCCTTTAGCCGCACCAATGGTACGTGCCTGGCACACTCCTTGAAAAACCTCCTTTCATGAAAATTGGCAAGCGCTGCGCGTGTCGCGCGATGTGACAGGAAAAGCAATCCGGTTCGTAAGTGTGACGTCCCTTCAGTTTATACCACGCCCACTGCACACGTGCACTGCTCATAGGGTTACATGCAATGATCGCTGTTTACACGGAACCGGAAGTTAACGCGCGATTTCAGCAATTGTCCAATGAGAGCCTGCAAACGTGGCGCGTCCGCCTTTGTGACGAAGTCACTTACGAACCGGACAAGCCCGTCTACAGTGAATTTCACACTCTGTATTACGAAAACGTGGACGCGCTGGTGTTGCGCAGTGCGCATGTTTAGGTTACAATGAGGCATAACCACCATACGTACACGTAATTTGTGTATGGGAAGAGTTTTAATCAGGAGGCAAAATTTCTTCTGAAGCTGGCGAATCGCTTAACAAGTTGGGCAGCAGTGAAATTGAATCAGGCGGTCGTCAGGTAACTCGGTTTGCAAGCGAAGTATAAAATTATTAATTCTGACACTAAAGATAAAAACCATCGATGCATGTGAAATTTAAGATACACAGTGTTTCGATACTGCGGGATAAAAAGTCTTTGGGATCATGGATCCACAAAAATCTCTACATGGCAGCGTCGGTCGGGGAATTATGTATCAAATTTTCGGTGATTTTTTTTCGCCTTGCTTATTAAGTACGTTTATCGAAGGGAAATACATTTAACTGGGGAGCGTTTGTCCAGCAACCTGATCGTTGGAACAAGTTCCTTTGTTTCGTCGCTACCACAAGAACCTCTGGCTTTTCTCCTGTCCTTCCTTGTAGCTATTTCCTGAAGTTTGGCCTTGGCAGGGAACCACATCCCAACCGCACTTGAGCCTGAGGTCAATTTGCCAGAGGACCGTAGGCTTGGGATTTTGTGTAACGATATTTTGGTTTTGGAACAGATTCGTAAGGCTTGGAAGTTTGGAACAAATTTGTAAAGCCGCCTTTTATTTCTATGTCCACGTTTTTTTGGTGCGTTGCGTACACGATGCGTTCGTCCGTTTCACTTTCACGGACAACAAAATCGATTCCATTGACAGCGGTCGGCCCACAAAATCGCCAGGGAGCCATCTTGACGGATACGCAACGCTTGGCACAAGTGTTGACGCGCATATGGAAAAGCGCTTTCACGGAGGAGAAAACGTGGACATTTCTATTTCCTGTTTCTCCCCACAAGAGATGCGAGATTTTAGTATATTGTGGATTAACTTCAATCAAGTTCCACTTGTCCATGACGTACCATTTGTTCTTTTTCGCAGTTACCGGCTCTGCATGGTTTTGTTTTAAACAGGAGTTTACACTGCATATTAATTACTTACTGAAAATGTCACGATGCTTAACAGGCAGCGCGGGTGCCAGTAATGAAACAGCAGATCGCAGTCCTTTATCGGCCAGCAATGGCAGTAAATGTGACAGTAAGTCTCAGCTAATTAATGTTAATACATATTTAGCAACAACAGCAACAGGGAGTAACTGTGGTCATTGAGTACAGACAACATGATTTTTAAGGGTTTCCATCAAGTGCAATAGTGAAGCAATTAATTTTGATCTACTTGTGTTATGCATGATTACAAGTACACGTAGGCCTACCATAGTTGTACTTTCAGAGCCACGCATCCTTCATTTAACACTGGTATGATATAAGCATGGTTGGTACTCAAGAAAAGAAGATTTTTAATTTGTTATCTACGGTATCTACGTGTCTTTTTAAGACAAAGGTTGCATTTGTTTGCAAAACTGGACGCACAAAGCACTGAGATTGTCTCAAAATAAAGTCAAATGTTCATGTATAAAGAATGACAAATGAACGAAAGTGAACAAGGTCCAGTTCGGGTCAACACGCAAAGCGAAGTTAAGGGCAAATATACGTTAGTGTTTACCGTGGAAATGCGTTGACAGTGAACAGCTGTTGTGAAACACCGAGCAATATTGCAGATTTCACAGTAGCATTTTCCGGGGGTTAAGAACCGCTCGGACCATCCTTGCTTGAAGGGCAAATTAAAATTGCAGTCGGCCTCGCTTTGATGAATGTCTCACTAAGCCGTAAAGATGGACAGTGCCTTGATGGGGGGAGGGGTAGCCAAATAGAGAAAGACCGATTGTTGTCGGAGAAAATGTGTCGCTGGACGACTGACCGCGCGTTATCCCGTGAACAAAGGTGCTATTTTTTTTCTCTGCGGCGAAATCAGCCTCCAAAAAGTTGGACTTTTGTTTGCGGAGTAGTTTTAAAGGTGCGTGTTTTTTTTTCATCTGCGCAATAACTCGGTAGCTCCGACATAAATTTACTTCCCCTGAACGCGATTGTGTTTGTGCAACGATCAAATGCAAATTATGATTTTTCTAAAGGACGGCTTTAATGCATGAAGTCGAGCGAAACGTAAAGAGATCGGCCAGACAGCACGCGCTTGACTGCAAACTCTGACATCGAAGTCTTAGGAGATCTGGCGGTGGTATTGTATCACACCACCAACGCCGCCATTGTAAGTTGTTCGTGTGTTTTTGATGTTTGCCATTCTTCTCGCCTCAGTCGTATTTTTGCCCAACAGTGGCTGGCAAAACTATGGCACGCCCTGAAATGAAAATTCACTGTGTTCCAAAAATCTCACACAGCTTTCGATGTAGGTGAAAATGCCGCCCTCTTTCAAAGGAACGGGGCAAATGTGCAATTTTGAGGTGAACCCCGACTCCAAGCATGCATGCATGGATATGGGTGAAAGTAGATGGCAACTCCGGCTGTCGTGGCCAAGCAAATACGGTCACAAATGTCTGGGGGGTCGTACAGCAAAACAGCGCGGATCACTCGGTTATCATGCGCTAGATCACTTAAAACGGCGTATGCAATCCGATGCCAACCCAGGGAATTTCTTTGTGCCCTCACACGTGCGGAGTTCGTCGTGAGTTGAGTTCAATCTCTTTTTAGTTCATAAAATGGCCCCACAAAGTTGTGTTAACCCGAAAAGAGCCAGGGCCGAACCTCCCCCCCCCACCACTGGTTTTCGAGCAAGCAGTACAGGTATCTTCAGAAGCCGAGCCTTTAGGAGTTATTAAGGAACTCTTAGCCCCTTTTTTCTTCTATCCTGTCTTTTATTTGTTTCCTTTAGTAACTCTTTGACACCAATTTTGCCAAAGTCAGACATATACCGTCCATGTACTCGCGTAGCACTCATTATTCCGAGAGGGGTCAGCTTCCCATCATACTTTCCCCCTGCGATGCCGGTGCTACACCGTACACCTACGTGTATGGGGGCTTGCTCGTGCATCCTTGAACTTCCGGTGACCCTAACAATAAAAAAATAAACAAACATATGTCGGATTGAGTTAAAACATCACATTTGTACTGATAAGGGGTGTCTCTACGTGCTTGCGTTTTCGTTTTTGAAGCGAGTCTTGCCGTGAGATAGTCCAAAACAACCCGGTGCTTCTGGGGTTTGCCGTGGTTTTGCTCAAGGCAGCGGAGCATGATGGTTTAGTCATCTGTCGTCTTGAGGACCGTTTCGTCAAGTTGGAGCCCGAGTGACTCCAACTGACGTACGTGCATGTTTATTGCTTCATTTGATGCCCCAGTCGGCAGACAGCGCAGTCGAGGTTTTTCGAGCCATACTCCGTAGCAGTTAAGTTGATAACACAAAATACATGTACATGTACACGCTGCCTGCATCTACATATGTGTTCGGAGTAAGGGTAGTGATTGGGCTTATACAGGCAATGAGTGCGCGAGGCACCAGAGTAAGTTCCGGGAAACACCTCCCTTACCGGGAAAAGGGGAAAGCTACTTTGAAAGTTGCCACACTTCGCGCGAAAGCTTTAATTACAATTTCGCCAGAAGGTCCCGGGTGGCATGCACTTGGCGCTTCCCACGCCCAACGTGGACGAAGTTGTACGCACACGCGGCGGTCTCTCGCCGAAGGAAATCGTTCCTGAGTGACAAGCACGCTGTCTCATGTTCCTTCATGGTGCCAGTTTTAAAGATTCATGACACTGATGTCGTTACTTTATGACTGCTTACTGTGAGGAGAAAACAAACACAAATTTTCTTTTGTTACGCAACCCTAACTTTTTGTGCACAGTTTTTGGTTAGCTTCCGAGTTCGATCTGTGCATAAACAAAACATCCTCCCGCGCATGAAATTTGTGTCCAGTTTACATTAGCACCGATTCATTTCACTCTAATAGAATTGATGCAAATCTTCTGAGTGACACTACTTCATGATTGTGCGAAAAATACCCACCGGCAGAGGGCGTTTTCGGCTTCGCACTCACAGAGTTCCGGTTCTTGGGATAATCCATTGTTGTACAGCTTTGCTGTTACGGGTTTCAAGAGAGGGCGCAGTGTGTCCAAAGAGAAAAGATGTAAATTCGGTTCGGCATACAGCGGCGCATGTCCGATATGACGGGCTTGCGAGGTCTTCCCTGTAAGAGGTTTGTTCCCAAATGATCTTGCAGACCTTGCGCCAGCCGTATTCCCGAATGACTGTCGACGCGTTTCATTTTGTGGCATGCGCTGTTGCAACAACGCCTGAAAGTTTAATACCGCTCGGGTGCTTAATTCTTTACTTTGAATTGGTGCATTGGGTCGGACTGACTACATCTAGAACCCATCGACTGTCGGGAGATTGATATTTGCTGCGTTATACATTTTCGAACTAGTCCTTACCACTGCACTCATGCATATTCATGATATTGTGTGTTACCAGCTGGATCGTACGCTGTTCGATGCTACGCCTGCACTGGTGCCATCTCACCCGCCCTCAACACTTGGTGTAACGACCCGTTTGACGAGGAGAACGCGGCAGCTCAAGCATCCATTCAAACCTGTAATGGAGAATGCGTGGTAAGTAACTCTTAAAACTACAAGAGGGACACTACAAAAAACCAGCAGAGACATTTAAATTATTTCTATTACCTAGAAAAACAAAACCAAAAAGGCAAAGAAATATAATATAAAAATTGCCAACAAAACAAGAACAAAAACTCAAACAAAAACAAGCTCTTGACTGATTCTAGCCATGTTAGCCAACGCTGCCCCTCTCGGTAATTTTCAGCATCTCAACAGCCTGTGCAAGCCAGAATCGCACGTGGAAATGGCAGTTTGAATGAGAAAAAAAACAGGTGGATGAGAGAATTTTGAAACTTACCCCGAATCCCCCAAAACTAAACCTACGTCCTTAAGGTGCCACAGAGAGGATATAACTCTTTTTCATAACTTTTTTTGCAAGCAGCGCTTCTAAAAGCCCTCTTGCATTCAGCCTGATGCACTACGTTTCTGCTGATGAGAAAATAGCACTATATTGAGGTCAAACCGCATAGCAGTGTCGATAACGCCTTGGAAGCAACATAAAGCGTCCGTTGCAATGCAGCTTGTATGAATCGGGCTACGCTCCTTTGAGAATCACCTCTGTGTTTTAAAGAACCGTATTTTCAATGTTGTGCAATTCCCATTTGGTGCTTTTTATGCCAAGAAGTAATTCCTTATTCATGAGCACAGCCGTCATCTCATTTCAGGCAGAGTGATTTTTAATCCGGCATAAAAAGTGATGGATATATAATTTCTTTAAATATTTTGGTGGCCCCAAAAGTTCTTTTCTTTGAAAACGTATTATGCACTCCGCAGCAATTAAACCATCATTAACATGGTCTCTGGAATGTTCACACACACGCACCCACACAGTTTTACATACAAAATGTGGAAATTCCTTTGTTCTCCTGTGGTTAAGGAAACTTTGAGGAAAATACTCCTCTCTCTTCAACTAGGATAACTCCTTCGAGCTGGATTTTTGATGATTTCCCGGACTGTTCCTCCTCATTTTGCCACAGATAACCTTGACCCCAAAATGCCTCTGAAAATGCTTTACTAAGAGGAGAAAACATTGTGTGCGAGTCCACACAACGCCATCGCACCCTACATTATGTGGACTTCTTCTGTGCAGAGGTCCACACTATGTATGCCACGCATTTGCAACTGGGGACCCCGTCTTGTTCCTCTTTCGTTCGTACTTTGGCTTTTTTTGGAAGACCGGCCATACGTTTTGTACACAGTTGTGAATCCGGGACCTTATTGTCCTCTACCGTTCAGGGTCCCCAACTAAATTCAAAAACAAACTCGCACACGCATCTTTGTTTCACAGTTTGAACGGAACACCTGTACCGCGAATGGCATCTCAAAATAGCGCCCTTATTTGTCCGGAAAAGCACGGGAAATTTTCAACGTAAAAAAGCACTTAATTTCAATACCCCTCAGATAAAATGGATACTAAATCTTTTCCATGCGTTGAATAGGAGAACTTGAAAATTCCACGTTGTAAGTGCTTTTCAAACCATTCATTGCTTGGACTGTTAATTTTCCTTATGGGACCACGAGTGACAGAGGGCGCTCAAACCTGGATACCAGGCATTGCACTTTGTAATACTCATATTCTCATTTCTTGTCTTCAGAAAAGCTACTCTAAAATCGGCGACCTGGAAGGCTATGTCCGCGAGTGTTCCAACGTGACCATAACCAATTGCCTGAACGAGTGCAACTCCGCTTTGGGGATCACCGCTTGCCAGCACTGTTGCACCGGCGACCTCTGCAACAGCGCATCCTCGGTGACCTTTAACCTGCTGGCCGCAGTCGCCATGTTGGTGTCTGCCTGGGTCTTCACCTCGTAGAGGCATTTCTCGTACCGATGGTGTGTACCGACTGCCCAGTATGTAAGAGACTTTTGAACCATCATGAATCGGTTGGACACAGCGTGCTTCCAATTTAGTCGAATCCAGTGTGCTATGAGTAGCACTCTTCATCCCTTGCCAGGCGTTTGGCCTATGTTTTTGGAAAACGGTTTTCATTTTATTCATCCCTTGCCAGGCGTTTGGCCTATGTTTTTGGAAAACGGTTTTCATTTTTGATTGTTTACATCGAGCAATAAATCATGCAGAAAATCACCTGTGTGTGCGCGTGAGTGCAGACCAAAACATATGCCGATGCCCCCAGCACCGTGATTGGCTCGACAACTGTCGACTACAGTCGAGCATCTGCATAATCTAGGATTTTATTGCACAGTGAAGGCTGCACACACAGCTCCAATACAGTGATTGGTTGGTTTTAGTCACATGCTTTTATAGGCAACTGTACAAAGAAGCTACCAATGACGGCACCGAACTCTCAGATATGTAATTTTGTTTCAATCATTCAAAACAACTCATTGTTTTTTCTTAATGACAAGACACCTGCACGGGATAAGCTCCGATGTTTTACCACGGGACAGGTGACTAGGTGTTTAACCCAAGTGAAAATTAATCACCAGCGCTTCTGCTTCTGCTGGCTACTGTACAATCGCCAAAATTCTGGCTGTCCCGTACATTGTTGACCTTTGTTGGTCCTGTTCTGCCATGCATGGAACGCTTTTAATGTACATGTACACACGAAGGCTTTGTGTGGTACGTCAGGAATTGGTTAATATTTGGTGGAATCGATTGTGTTTAAACCGTCAATGGTTCCTGTGTTTCTTTTTTACAATTTTGGTAGTCGGCGACCCATTGGAGTTTGAAATCTTGTACTTTCTCTAAATGTAGTTTGTTGGGAAACGCAAAGCGGTCTTTTCCTCGTGAAGTCAGGTTGTCTGTGTTCTTACTATGTTTTGTACGATTACTGAATTGCTGATGTATATAATCTGACGTCGGTAATGATGATGTATTAAAAATGTGTGGAGTTTTGTTAGTGACTTTTGTTTCTTTTGCTGGTAATTCTTTCACACTTGTGTTTCTCTTCAGCCATTTTGAATAGGAGCCAAAGCTGTTCTATCCAAATGCAATTACAACGAGTAAGTTTCAGTTGAGAAGGCAGGTTAAACATACTTACGCGACTTGAGTAGTAGATTTCAACTCAAGATATTTCTATCGCTAACGGAAAAAGAGGGCGGCATTTTTAATTAATTTGCTTTCTGCGGTTGGACGCGCGCTCCTGAGGAAGCTGCTCCTGAGATAACGACTCGGCGGCTACTTTTCTCCCGGGCTTGCATGCGATGCCAGTTGGAGCCATGTTACTTGGACAGGATTATAGTAAACAAGGCGAAGATAGCCCCTTCCAATTAGGACTCTGAGAGTTTTTAAAAGGATGGATTCCAGGAGCAAGGTCCAAAATGGCCGTGGGGTGAAAATAGCCTTGCTTTACTTGAGTAGCATTCCCAGTACTCAGCGTGAGTAGAGACTGACCAATTGTCAGAGGTTGTTTCTTGTAATATGCTCAATCAATTATCTACGCTTTTGTGGTTGCCTTCATGTAGCTATGAAATCTCCATTTGGACTAATGTAGGATTTCATTATTTAAGATTCTCTTTTTTTTGCTAAACGAAGTGTTGCTTCCAAACAGTCATTCAATTGAAAGTCATTCCAAACCGATGTACGTGCATGGTTTCGCTGCTGTTTATCTGGTTTCCGATTATTTGTCATAAAAACTGATCAAAAGTGCCCATAAAAAGTTTTAGGGCAAATCAACAAAATAATGCGATCAAGTGATCGGTCCTTAATTTTAAGGCAATGTTTCTGTGCTAACATACCTCAAACACTCTTTGCATTGACGAGTCAAACCGCGCATTCAGCCCTCTGTTTTTCGTCTTCTTAATTAATTAACCCTAGTAAGTAGCATGAAAACAGGGGCTAATTAGCCAAAATTAATCAGCAAATGTTAATGTCACTTCGCGAAAACGTCCTGGTCCTGGTCGGTGTATAATAATCACAGGGAGGTGATCGTGTCTTTACGCGCGCACAACTGTGAACGTAACAAAGCTAACGTCACTTCGTGAAAACGAAAATCCCAGTTGACCTACTTTTCAGCCATTTCCTTGCAATACATTTTGCACATGTTCAAAGGACGTTAAGCGTTGCGTCTCTTTCTGAAAATGCAAAATGCTGTTTTCACGATGTTTGCCTTCAGCAACATTTAATAATGTAACTAACATTAATGATGTTTGGTTTGTGGGATGTCAAGTGGTCAAGCACGATACTGTAAAAGAGAATATCGAGAAAAAAATGGAAATCGACAAAAATCATTTTTGGACATTGGCGTCACTTCGTGAGAACAGTAACAAATATAAAACTCCCGACCAACACGGCTCTTTTCAACCGATGGGGGAGTGCATCTGCTCGATCGAGACCAAGGCCACTCTCTTTTACCAAAAGGGCCAAACATGGTGACGCTCTTGGGTGACTAGACAAGCCATTGTCGTAAGTGTTGGGTTGTTGCCTGGAGCTACTTAAGTGTAGCTACAATAAATGTTTCTTCTAAAACAATTTTCTGCAACTTTGTACTTTTCTTATACATATGAAAACTCTCACACATTCCTATTTGGTTAAATGCATTGAAAAGTGCCCACTTTTGAACAATCAAAATTATCTATGTTTTCCCTGACAACTGAGGGCGCTGTTGCTTTGAAGTCATCTTGGGAAGACATGGTTCCCTGTGTAAGTATTTCTGTTCAAATCGTGAAGCCAGAATTTTTGTACTGAAAAGAATTTCTGAGAGGGGAATTGATGATTTCGTTTTGCCATTCACATAAACAGCAGTCAGCAAAGAAAAGAAAACGTAATCCAGGCAAACCTACAAAAACTCTGTTCAAACCAATACACTGAGGCTTCTTCCTGAGATGACATCACAGTATTGCTCATGAAAATGAAAATACTCATTAGCATAACAACTCCCAAAAGCATTAAAATACCCTTTGAAACAGTGAAACCAAAGTTGAAAATAGGTTTACTGATGGTGTGGTGTGTGATCCTGTTCCCAAAACAGCGTTCTTGAGTCGTGTTCCCACCGTTCGAGCGCGAGAACAAAAAACCCGTGTCAAGAACAGGCCGCCCGAACTCGACCACTGTGTCAGATGGAAGGGTACAGTGGTTCGATCCCCAGTTGGTGTGGTTGCATGTCGTAAATGTCCATTGGCAGGGTGTAAAACACTGACCTCCGTCTGTCCGTGTTTTAAGTCGTGTGTTTGTCAATAGAGGGCGTTGTTCAATGGGCATGGGAATTTCGGCTCAGGGTGCATTCCACCAAATGGTTGTATATCTGCGCGCAAGGTCATTAATATTTTGTGATCCCACGGGGTCTTTACAATAAGACAGGCCATAATCAGGAGGCATCATAAAAATATTTCTATAAATCCCGAATTTGGGACTGATAGTTTCCATTTCAGAGAATTTCTTTCACAACAGCCCCCAAATTGCGGGCCTATTTTGGATAGAGGTGGGCGGCTACATTCAGAAATGAGCGCTTAGTTTTACTGCTGTTTGGGGGGTATCTTCCTTGAAAGGCGAATAAAAAAAAGGATTTTCTTGGCTAACCCCCATGAAATTGAAACGAAAAGTGATCTTCTGGCTATAATCTTGAGTTGCCAGTAAAAAAAAAGTGGCCAACCTCTTAACGAGAGTCAACAGGCGGTGCTATTTCGGTCCAATTTTGCACCGTATTTTTGTAGGCGCGTATTTGGTATAGTGCAACCCTCACACTTTAGAAGTCGCCATATTTTTGGTTTCAATGCACACGTAATACCAAAGTCCTAAGTGAAATTCATTCCGGGAAATTATTTATTTGATTCATCTTGTTAATTCATAACTGCTTAAAGTCAATTTCTATACATTTGTGTACTTTTTGAGGACAGATGAAATTGTTGTCTGGTAATCTTTCAATTTTTTTTTCAATTTCAATGAACCAATCATCCAACTACTGAAGTCAGTTGACTCAAGTTGTTTAATTAAGAAGAAAGTAATCCGTGCGAACTCTGCCAGTCATAGACTAATCCGCGGAGACGCCATAACTGCGGTGGCACCGCACTCACACGCGCATTCTTCAGCTTGACGCGCGCGTGCATTTTGGCAAATCACGACATCCTATTGGTCAAAGAGGCATGTAACGCGCGCGTACCACCTGTGCACGAGCTTTGGGCCACCGCAGTAATGGCTTCTATTCCTGGTTGTGGAATTACACTATAGACGAAAAAGCATGTCACAGCTGAACTGCTTTCCCACGAGTGCATTGTACATGAGTATTCGTCTACACACGCGTACACAGGTGTGTTGCTATTTTGTATCGAAATTTTAGGAACTTCAGAAATTGTTAAGTGAAAGTGTGCATTACATTGAGAATTTTTAGCAGTCAGGACGGGGTCGCTCCGTAATATTACAACATTGAAAATTGGAGGCTGGAGAGCAGAAACCAGAGAAGGCTGACATCACTCTTTAAAAACTGTGGTGTAAATTTAACACCCTCAGTATCCATATAGGGCACGTCCAGTCCGATTTTGTCCTATACAAAGAAGGGTGCTTATCTGACACAAATATTTTGGCGGTGCATCCTTCAGTGGTGGCGCCATTCAAATTGACCGTGTAAACCTGTAATTTTTGGCCGTTTCTGCAAATAGGCCTGCTTAACTTTAGATGTGGCTTTCGCGTGTTAGTGACATAGGCCTATGTACAGGGTCTCGTTTGTACCTTGAGCACAAGAGAATATCTAATGGCAAACCTAGAGAGTGAAATCACACAGTGTACGAATGATCAATTGTAACAAGCGCCCGCAACTGCGGCATGAAAAACAGCGATGAAGGAAATATATTCATGCAAACACAATTTCCGTACGTTTCCAGCTCATACTCCTAAGTTGATGACTTGCTTTTATGACTACAACATGCGGTGAAAACGGGTGCAGAAATTCTCCTAAAGTTGAAGTAAAATTGATGACTTTCTTTCGGACTGTTGGCCATTAAACAGCGATGAGCCACCAAAAGCAAAATAAACAAAAAATAGAAATAGGTAAATCTTTGCACAAAAACAACTTTGGCAAGTTATGAGCAATTCGTTGGCCTCTCCATTTCTCTAAGAAAGTAATTATGATTAGTCTGTGCGACATCTAACCGCGGTCGTCAATGAGTGGTGGACATGTTTCAAGTCTGACAAATTTTTGGCGATTTTTAAGTATAATGTTGAGCTTCTCTTTAATGGGGTGACTCATGAGAAAGATGACGCCCATAACCTGCAAGCAATACCAAGTTACAATACCGTGTAAGTGGTTGGGGGGGGATCTCAATACTCGTTCTAAGAGGACCAAAGAGAGAGCGCGGAATATGTGATTTGACCCATCAATGTAAACACTATTTCAGGTATGATAGCACAAAGACGTTACCTTGAAATTAAGGAGCGAACACTTGATCGCATTTGTTGATTTACCCTCTCACTTTTTATGGGCAATGTTGACCAGTTTGTATAACAAATGATCGGAAACCAGATGAACAGCAGTGAAACCATGCACGTGCATCGGTCTGGAGTGACTTTCAATTGAATGACTGTTTGGAAGCCACCCTTTTTTGGCAAAAAAAAGAGAATCTTAAATAATGAAATCCCACATCAGTCCAAACGAAGATTTCATAGCTACATGAAGGCAAACACAAATGCGCAGTTAATTGATTGAGGATTTTACAACAAACCACCTATAACTGACAATTGGTCTCATCTCACGCTAGAGTACTTTGTTTACCGCATGGCTATTTTGGACCTTGGTCCTGGAATCATCCATTTAAACACTCTCAGAGTCCTGATTGGACATATGCCAGTTTCGCCTTGTTTACTGTAATCGTGTCCAAGTAACATGGCTCCAGCCGGCAGTAACGTGCAAGCCCGGGGAAAAGTAGCCGCAGAATCGTTATCTAGCGGCTTCCTCGGGAGTGCACGTCTAACCACAGAAAGCAAATTAAAAATGCCGCCCTCTTTTTCCGTTAGTGACAGAAGAACTTTGAGTTGAAATTTAATATCCAACTGGCGTAAGTATGTTTATGCTGCCTTGTTGGCTGACACTTGTTTGTTATAATTGCATTTGGATAGAACAGCTTTGGCTCCTATTCAAAATGGCTGGAGAGAAAATGAAGAGAAACACAAGTGAGAAAGAATTACCAGCAAAAGAAACAAAAGTAACCAACAAAACTCCACACTTTTTTAATACATCATCATTACCGACGTCAGATTATATACATCAGCAATTCAGTAATCGTACAAAACATGGTAAAACACAGACAACCTGATTTCTCAAGGAAAAGACCGCTTTGCGGTTCCCTACAAACTACATTTAGAGAAAGTACAAGATTTCAACCTCCAATGGGTCACCGACTACCAAAATTGTAAAAAAAAAAAGTAAAGAAAAAAAAATTAAAAAGGAACCATCGCTCGTTTGAACACAGTCAATTCCACCAAATATTAACCGAGTCCTGACGTACCCAACAAAGTCTTCGTGTGTGCATTTAAAGCGTTCCATGGCAGAAGTGCTGGTGATTAATTTAACTTACGATTAAATACCTAGTCACTTGTCCCGTATTAAAACACCGGAGCTTATCCAGTGCAAGTATCTGGTCATTGAGGGAAAAATGTGTTGTTTTGAATGATTGAAACAAAATTACATATCTGAGAGTTCGGTGCTGTCATTGATAGTTTCTTTGTACTGTTGCCTATAAAACATGTGACTAAAACCAACCAATCACTGAATTGGAGCTGTGTGTGCAGCCTTCACGGTGCAATAAAATCCTAGATTATTCAGATGCTCGACTGTAGTCGACAGTTGTCGAACCAATCACGGTGCTGGGGGCATCAGAATACCTTCTGGTCTGCACTCAAGCGCACACAAAGAGGTGGCTTTCTGGATGATTCACTGCTCGTTGTGAAAATGATCAAAAACCATGCGCCTGGCATGGGATGGAGAATTCATACTCAACCCACACCGGACTCGAATAAATTGGAAGCACGTTGTGTCCCGACCAATTCACGACGGTTCCAAATTCTCTTACATACTGGGCAGTCGGTACACACCATCGGTGCGAAAAATGCCTCTACGAGGTGAAGACCCAGGCAGACACCAACATGGCGACTGCGGCCAGCAGGTTAAAGGTCACCGAGGATGCGCTGTTGCAGAGGTTGCCATTGCAACAGTACTGGCAAGAGGTGATCTCCGCAACGGTGCCGCAGTCGTTCAAGCAATTGTCTACGGTCACGTTGGAACACTCGCGGACATAACCTTCAATCTCGCCGATTTTAGAGTAGATTTTCTGAAGATAAGACAATGGGGCAGGAAATGAGAAAAATACAAAGGCAATGTCTAACATACAGGGGGCGCCCTCTGTCACTCTCGGTCCCACAAATTAAACGTTGGGGTCCAAGCCATGATTTGGTAGGAGACACACACTCAGCGTGCAAATTATCAAGCTCTCTTCTTTCGTGGATGAAAACTATCCACCTCAGAAGCACCCCCTCACCGGTTGAACAGAACCACATTGGTTGGTTGTGTTTATTTCGTTGGTAGCAATGTTTCTGCTTGAGGCTTTCATTGGTCCCCCTTTTCTTTTTCCTTCATTGAAAATAGCAATATTTTCAGGTGTTCTTTGGCCTGCAAAGACAGTTGCGCTGCAAAACGTTGTCGAGACGCGCAGCGCTAAGTAGCATGGCAAGAATCAATCTCCAGTTTCTTGGTTTTTGTTAATGTTGGCGGTTTTTTCCGGGGGGTGGGGTGTCTATTTTCTGAGTAATCAGAATAAAACTGGTATTATTTGCTATCGGTGTCACTGCTTTGTTATTAGTTACTCACCACGCATTGTCCATTGCAGGTTTGAATGGACGCTTGAGCCGCCGCGTTCTCCTCGTCAAACGGGTCGTTACACCACGTGTTGAAAGCAGGGGAGGTGGAACCAGTGCAGGCGTAGCATCGAACAGCGTACGATCCAGCTGGTAACACACAATATCATGAATATGCATGAGTAAAATGGCAGTGGTTAACAAAAATGACAGTTTGTGAGTGCAACGGCAAGAATTATTTTGCGAAGTGAAAGATAAAAGGTTCTTTTCAATGAGGCAAAGCCGAGTGAAAAGGAATGTTAATTTCGTCTGTTTTGTTTAATGCAGGTTTGTTTTCGTTTGAAATAATGTAACAGTTAACATGGAAAATGTATAACATAGAAAAAATTTATGTCCCAAAAGTCGATGGGTTGTAGATGTAGTAAGTCTGGACCGGTGCACCATTTCAAAGCAAAGACTGGATAAGGCTTCACTATACAAATGTCAAAAGGGTCAAAAAGACCCTGCAAGCACGTTATATCGGGCATGCGCCCTTGAAAGCCGAACCGGCCTACAGTCCTGGCTAATTGGCATCCTTTCTCCCTGGACACACCGTGCCCTCTTGTGAAATCCATAACAGCAAAGCTGTGTAGGCTCAATACTAGAGTGTTGGCCCAGTTTTGCATCTTAAAGACCTCTTGCCCACACCCCCTCTGCCATTACCTGAACATTTATGAATTTTTACCAGAGGGAGCGAGGCCAACTCAAAATTGTCACGTTGCCAACATATGCGTAGTCCAGTAAAAAAAAGTGTGACCAGTCGACGAAATGCCGTAAACGGTCCCTGAAACAGGTCGGGTTCGGGCGGCCTGTTCTTGACGTGGGTTTCTTGTTCTCGCGCTCGAACAGCGGGAACACGACTCAAGAGCACTGTTCTCGGAACAGGATCCCACACCACCTCCTCGTCAGGGTTTGACAGGAACACACGGAAAAACCCGTGAGATTTAGGTGTTTGAACAGCTGCAAAAAGTAGAGAGATGGACCAAGCCGCCCGAACTGTTTCTTAAAGAGCGCCCTTCTAGTCGGAATGCGCCCTCTCTCACAAGTTTCTTTTAACCTGTGGTACTATTGGAATGCAGCGCTTCTTAGAAGATTTTACTGTTGATTTTGTAGTGGTTATGTAATTATTGCATATTTAGAATTCTACTGATGGGGTGGGGCAAGTTATTTGATTCATCCGACTACATAAAGTGCATCCTTCCGAGTAGCGTTTGCTTTTCCTGCCTTTCGTCTGGTGAGATGCTACACGATGTATTTGCTTGTCACGCCTCCGTCACGTTGCTGCACGTATAGTCCATGGGTACGGTGTACAAGTTCTGTATGTGAAGTCAACCCACATTGACTGTGCTCTCATTTCGTGGGTTAGCCATTTGCTTTGGGCTTAGTCCCGACATTTCTGTACTTTGTAGTAGTTCGGAATTGGAATTCGATTCCAGTATGGCATGATGGCAGTGGACTCACGGTGAGCATACTTCCTTTGACTTTTTCCTTTAATAAAGGAAGCTTGAGTATAGACCGAATACTTAGACAATGCGTTATTTAGATTTGGCACTGTTTTGTAGGCACATTATTGATGCATATCCTCTTCAACCTTTCTTTGCTTGGGGTAATTCTTTTAGAACCATCTATGCCTGTACTTGTTCAGAGATATCATCTTGAACATTGGACACTTACAAAAATGTGTGTTCATCTACATTTATTTAGCTAATAAATTTAATCTGCATTGGTTACTTGTGGTGTTATTATATGCAATGTTCGATTTTGATTACATTGACAGACCTACGTGACCTAGCCCTCTGGACTTTGCAGTATGTATGTAGATCATCCCATATCATATCACCTCATGCTTGAAGCAGCACTCCCATAACATCTTGAGTAAGTTACTAAGGTTGGGTTGTTTAGTGTCATTTACCAAATATTAAAGGCTATCTGACGCTTCTCTACCTCATTTCTGGTGAAAATGATCAAGACCCGTGGATGAAATAAGGAATATAAACCACAAATCTGAAATGTAGAGTGTAGCTGATTTAATTTAACCATTTTTACTTGTGTGTATTTGTAACTGAATCTATTTATGGTGGGCCACTGATGTAAATGTGTTTTCATCTTAATTTACTTCATCCTCGTAGTGCCTGTCGTGTTTTGTTTTTTATTTGTGTGTTTTGAGTTAAATATTTCTGACTTATTCAAATTAATAATCAAATGTAATATCCTGATTTCTAATTTAATTAAAACAGTAGCTATTTTTTTGTAAATCGGTGGTTTTTCTGGAGATTTATTGGTCCCTGTTTCCTCCAATATTTTGGGTTTTCCACTATCCCCCTCTTTCTTAAATTAGACTATCGATGCTAATGTAAAGTGGACACAAATTCCATGCACGGCAGGGTGTTTTGGCCACCAGAGCTGGAGCTAGTGTGGTAATTCCACCCACGCACGCGCATGCATGCTTGCATTGAGAGTTTACCTCGAAAATCTACACATTTACCCCATTCCTTTCCAAGAGGGTGGCATTTTCACTTCTTTTAATAGCTGTGAGATTTTTTGAACTCGGTGAATTAGTGTTTTGCTTGTGTGTACTGACGGCCTGCCACCGTTTTACCAGCCATTGTTGGGCAAAAATACAAGTGAGACGGGAAAATACAAAAGCTAAGAAACCCACAAACAACTTCGAATGACGGGTTTTGTTACATTATACAATCATCACCAGCCAGACCGCCAGATCACCAGGCTTACATTTCACAGTTCCCAGTCAAGCACGTATTGACCCGCCGTAAGCGATCTCATTAACTTCATGCATTAATGCTGTCCTTCAGAAAATCATTATTATTTCGTCTGAGCGTTTTGCACAAACGCTACCATGGTTAGGCGAAAGTAAATTTATGTTGGAGCCACAGAGTTATTTTCCACTGAAGAAAACCTATGAAAGTCAAACTTTTTGGAGGCTGATTTCGCCGCATAGAAAAAATAACGTCATTATTCACTCATTAATTGTAGCTGAAGTACTTATAAACGCGCAATCGGTTGTCGAAGCGACACATTTTCTCCAATAACACTTGGTCTTTCTCTGTATTTTTGACTAACCATAAGGCACCAGGCGTATCTAGATATTTAGATATTTATTAGTAAAGCGAGTCCGACTGCAAGTTTTATTTGTCCTTCGAGCAAGGGTGTCAAGAGAAGCTCTCAAACCCACACTGTAAAATACTATCGGGAAATCTACAATATTGCTCTGTATTTCACAACAGCTGTTCACTGTCAACGCATTTCCACGGTAAACTAACGTATTTGCCTTGATTTCGATTTGCATGTTGACTCGAACGGGACCCTGTTTACTTTCTTTAATTTTCCATTTTTCATTCTTTATACACGAACATTTGACGATATTTTGAGACAATCTCAGTACTTTGTGCAGTTTTGCAAACAAATACCACCCTTTGTCTGATAAGACAGAGAATACACATTGTACATGGAAACTAAAATATCTGATTACTAAACATGGTTACATGGGGGGGGGCACATAACGCAACCTGGCGTACAGCTATGTTTTCCCAGATGCTTGGCCTTGTATTTACAGTCATACAGTTATATTGTACATAACACATGTACATCGAATTAACTGCTTCCCCATTGCACTTGGAGACCCCTAAAAGTCACGTCATCTGTACTCAATGAAAACAAGAGCATGGGTTTCCATTGACTCATAGCGGGCCATGCAGCTGTCTACGTCACCCTAATAGATCATGTCAACGCTTCCCGGAACGATGACGTCATTGTGAGTGCACTGTTGTATTTCGTGGCTAGAAGCAACTGTCGAACAGGCTCGCGACTCGTGCATGGCACAGAAGAAGGCGGCCTAGTCCTTACACATTCGATTGAATTGGACAAAACTGACATTGAGACTCCGATCCACAAAACTTGACACCTACGGTGGAAAAGGGAAAGGACAGATATTCCAAAGCAAAATCCAAAACCCACGAGTAGTAATGCTGGTGGAAATTTTGAACAAGCAACTTCGCGCGTCTACCTTGGACAGTCCACCCAATCCTATTGGTCCGGAGGTGATCACGTGTGCATTTCTAGGCCCAAAACAATAGGTTTGCCTCCGATTACATGCCTCTCAAAACAGGGTTGTAGGTCAGAATTTTATTAGGGGGGATTTTTTTTATGCTAATTCAATGGCACGAATGGGGACGAAAGCTACCAAAGTTTCCTCCGAATGATAAAAACTTGCCTTTATTTATGTAACAATTTCTACAGTTGACATTTCTTAAGAATTATTGACAAATTACACCACTAAGCATAACGCTAGTTGGGTAATCACGACGGCAAATTCGCCAACAACGTCCATGTATTGCGTGGTAAGCGTCCATGGTGCATCTAGATGGGCGGGCACAATAAACCTTGAGCCGCGGCAGGAAATTTTGTGGAAGCACACTCGCTTCAAGTACGACTAAAACAACCTCAAATCTAACTCATGAACGTGAGAAATAAACACGGACAAGGGACTAAGTTCTGTGAATTAACTTCCCAGAATTCTTCTTGCCACATCGATGTTCTTTCGACGTGCAGCTGTAGGGTTGTGTGCGTGTGTGAGGCCGGAGTAATGTACCGACACCATTAGTATAGACTGGTTACCACATTTCCATCCTGCGTTCTTTACATGGGCGCGGCGTGGCGGGAACCAGCGTGGTGTTGCTGGTAATTAATTGAGCTTGGAGCACGTGTTTCACCGCTGCGACAGCAAAACACGAAGGGAATTCGAACGGGTTTCCTTTCAACAGTTGCAAATGTAGGCAGGAAAACGTTAAATGAAAACGTTTTCACGGGGAAAAAGGTTGTTAGGAGGTGATGTGTAAAGACAGAAAAGACGAAAGTTTTTTGTTATTTTTATAAATTGCCAATAAAAATATAAGGTCGGCACCGAGAAATTAGGGAGGTTCGGGAAACCGGAAGTAGAGGTTTTGTTCGGCCTTAACAGATATTATTAGGTAAAAGCTCAACAAGTCAATCGTTTCACCAGTCTCATATGAAATTTGTTTCTTGTGATAAAAACTCTAACCACCACATAATTACACATGACAGCCATGCGTCACTGTCGCGTAAACTTCACTCTGGACCGAGTTCCCACTGTCGCAGAGGTGAAATTGATTTTCCCGTCTTAATGATTTTTCACATCGCACGACAAGAGCCGCGCTTGCTAATTTTCGTGAAAGATACCGTTGATGCAGCTAGAGGGGTTTCACTAAACACGCAGCAAAATCGTTAGTAAAATGGATGCAATTTTCAATTTCTTTTCACTTTTCATCGAAATTATCTGTATGAATAGGGATCAAAGGTGATATTAAAATGCACCTTAGGTTTGTCTCAGCTAATCTCAGGCCTTGTCCGAAACGAGCTTCCAGAGCTACGGCTAGGTCTATTGTCTACGCGTCTCCACGCATTTCCAATGGAGTGAAGACCTAGACCTAGCTCTAGACAAGAGATTCAGATGCAGCCTCAGTTTCACATTTGGATAATATTTCCATATTCATGAGCGAAACTGGGATGTACTCCCGGGAAAAAACCTTGACGTTATCCTTTGAGCCTGTGCTTGCTCAAATGACTGCTGGGAAGATTTTGCTAGCCAACATTGGCTTCCCTGTGGTGATTTATTGCTATAAGTAGGCATATATCAATAAGCGAGCAAGTGACCCTCTCTCAGAAATGCTTTCAGTGAATATATTTTGGGTTCACAATTGGATGAGAAAAACCTTTTCACTCCTCGATTTCTTCCCAAGTTGGCATCATCGTAACAGCGCCCTTTTTGTCCAGGAAAGGATGGATAATTTCGAATGTTTTTAAAAAGTACACTTTTCAATGCACTTCACCTGACAGGGATGTCAAATAATTGTCATACATGTGTTTAAAATGGAATATTTATGCCAAACCTTCCACACATCTCTTCCGTGGGAAAGAAGCTACCGAGGCTTTCACATGATGAACCAACAATAGGAGCACGAAGCAAATGAAATTCTTTCGTATTTGTACTCGCACTTCAAAAACCTAACAGCATTTTTCTAAAAGCCAACTGCCGCGTGACACAGATTGCAAAGGTTTCTAAACCTTGTCCTTGCCTAAAATTGCTTTTCCTGTCAGATCGGGAACTGTAGCCCAAGGTTACCCCATAGACACAAAGGGGTGTACAGGTTCGCGCCAAATCCGGTTGCAGTACTAAAATTACTTTCATTTTCGCTTTCCATGCCGACACATATTTTCTGATTTTCCCCTTTCAATCTGCCAAAAAAGTGCACTTTTGTTTTTCGCGTTCCCATGCAAGTTCTTCTGGGGAACTGTTTCCCCACACAAAGCGATTCCCCCTCTCCCTCTCTCTGAAGAGGGTCCGCAGAAGTTCACTGCTTTTACCAAACATTCCAGGTCCCACTCAAAGCTCAAGCATTTCATCACGAGTATTTGGCTCTGGGAATCAAGCTCCTTGCACAAATTGTCCTTTTCCTGTCGGATCAAAGACTCTACGCAAAGGTTATCCTGTGGGCCCAATGCAGCCTGCAGGCTCGCGCCATTTAGCAAAGACGGGTGCGGCTCGTGAAATTATTTTCGTTTTCATTTTTTCAGCTTTTCCCTTTCGTTCTGCACAGGAACGTACTTTTGTTTTCGGCATCCCATGCATGTTCCGGCGGGAAACATTCCCCGGGTGGAATGCATTGTCTTGGGCCGTAGAGGGCGCGTAAATCTGTAGACATTCTCTGTTTTTACCAACACCCCATGCGCCATTCAAATCCGAAGCATCTCACGAGCTTTTTGTTCTCTAACGCACTGAGCCAAGGCCACAAATTCAATGAATTTAACTGAAATGCACCGTAAACTAAAGCCTTTGTCGCGGAACAGATGTTTTAATCATCAATGCATTTTTTTAAATAGAGCAATGGATAAATTTCCCCTTGGTAAGAGGGGATTTCTAGATATTCATCCCGAGGAGCATTTTTGAGGTTTGCCCCTGCTAATTGCAATCGTTGAAAACCAAACCCCTACCCAATATTCCTGTTGATGGCCACACTTTATTGAAGAAAATAACGCCATTTGGAGGATCCATTTCCGGTCGGTATTCTTCAAGAAATTCGAACTGGCAATCCTTTCAGTATTCCCTTTTGGGCAATTACTCCAGTCCATGCGCCGCAAAATAATCCAATGCCCGAAGAGACTGCAATACACTTTGCCCTCAACAAAATGCGGAAACCGAGAAAGAGCTATTAACTCCTATGAATAGGAATATCCGGCCGAGTTCCTTATACTACGTGGTCTGAAACAAATTTGTGACCCACTTTTTGGTACCCCTGACAGTATATGCTCCATCTTCTCCTGGGCTAGCATACCCCCAAATCAGGTCCAAAATTCAGTTGGGGTGACTAACACATGTTGGCCAAGAAATGGTGCAACATCCGTGTACATGCATTACAAAGGCGCTATCTATTTTCTGGGACGCATCTTTGTGTACGAAAACCATCTACTGTTCAGATTGGGAACCCAAAATCTGCCCTTTAAAAACACTTCTGAGCATTGGCTTGTTGTCATGAACACAACAGTGAATTACCAAAGATATGGAAATGTTGCACAGAGAAAAAAATCGGCAGTTTTTTTGCATCCGTTCGGGGAATATGATATCACAATTCTGCTCATGAATACGGAAATTGGCATCAACACAAAAACCACAGAGGCATCAAAATCACACACTGTTTCAAAAAATAGCGCACTAAATGCTCTAAATATCAAGGTTAATTGAAACAACAACATGCATTTTTCAAGATGTGTATTGTTTTAAAACTCGCATTAATTGTAAATCCTTCATGCGACAAGGCTGGTGCATGCTACATAAATATGAAATTTAGCCTCAAAGTGGTTGCTAAAATGATAAATTATTTCCATTTTCAATCGATCTCTTGGTCTTTTTTCCCACTAGATTTCTCAATTTTAGAAGTTTTCCCATAACAGTGAGACACTGCATATGACAAGCCAGAATCTCAACTACACATTACCATTTTTTAGTTCGACTTTCATGAGTTATATTTGATATTTTCTGCGCAGTGCGATCTACGCGTTTTACGTGCACAAAACCGATCCATCCATGCTCAGCGGCCTGTTACGCGCGTAACGTGGCGTGTAGGCGTGGCATACATATCGTGAACCTCTGAACAAAAGAAGTCCAGATAATGTAGGGTGAGATGGCGTTCTGTGAACTCGCGCACATCCACCGAATGTTTTCTCCTCTCTGAAAAACAGTTTCAGCGGCATTTTGGGGTTAAGGTTATCCAGGCAAAATGAAGAGGAACAGTCCAGGAAATAACCATCAAAAATCCAGCTTGAAGGAATTCTCCTAGTTGGAGTAAATGAAGCATTTCCTCAAGTTTCCTTAACCACAGGAGAACAAACAATGCCCTCACTTTGTACGTAAAACAGTTAGGTATGGCGTTATGTGTGTAGTTGGGTGTCCATATACAGTGTACATGGAAATTCTCATCGGAGTCGGTGTACATGTTCTTATGGTTCATGCATGGATAGTGCATGCAAAACATGGGATATATAACGTGAATTTCAACATTTCTCGGCAATGTTACAACAACAGATAGACCTCGTTTTCAATAATAAACTGCATGTTAACTTACTGTACTTTAGTGTTGGTCTTTAGTTCCCATATCACCGAATTCTTACGCTCGCAAGGCTGTAAGATTATAAGCGGGATAAACGGAATAGGTGCCGAGTCAGGTCGATATGCAAACAGTCAGCAAATCTAAAACCTTCACAGCTTTTTCCACCGAGGCAGACTTTTTAAAACTACAGGAAGCTTCGAATTCTTCGTTTCGAGTCTTCGTTTACGAAAAGAGCTTTTCACAAAATATCACTACTTTTAACCACGCTCAATGGTACTATTTCTCAATTTCCTTATCCTACCGTGAAAATATTTTGGGCAGGAATTTTTATATCCAAAAAGTGAAAATGAGACATAAATTTCATGAAATGAGGCAGCTGTTTGCTTGGCACGAATTCAGATGGCCCTCATTACATATGCACATAACACTAAAAATGGGACACGCGCAGTTAACAATTCGCGCCTGAAACATAGGCTACGTGGCCACTGACCAATAGCCATTAGCTTTATTAAAACGCAAGGCAAGGAGTTGACCAAGGTGAGCAAATTTGTACGCCCAAGAGAGAAAGACCGGGTGTACATGTACACCCTCTATTTTGAACAGGGCTTTACGAATTCGCGCGGCTAGCTGACACGGACATGAAAGTGGACGGGTTTATACATAAAAGTGTCGCTCCACATGCCAACAGAATCGTGGACCATTTCTCCAAAACGAAATTCAGAATTTAGGTTCTTTTTTCACAAAACCGCATAACACTAAGTCTTCAGAGTTCTATTCTCATACTTCAAGTTCACGTGCACCTGATTAAGGCTGAATGATGGTTGAAACTTCTCTCATTTATGAAGAACAGCCAGCGAAATCATCGAAAGGAATTCAAATTATGAATGATTCCTGTGACAAGTAAAGGTTTCATGGGGTTTTCTGTTTCCATACAATATAGGCCTACATCTCCAAAAAGAAAGTGAATACTACAGAAGAGGGAAAGAACCACATACCCACACAGACGGAGAGCGTCAACATTGAAAGCAGCAGAACCTTCATGGTGCTTGGTTTCGTTTCTGGTTTACCACAAGAGCGAGAGTTTTAGGTCTCCAAATTTGAAGATTCCTTCCTTGCAAGAAGTGTTGTAATCGGTCTGCCTTCAATGTCCACTTGTACTTGGATGATAACAGAAATGAAGTGTTGCACAATGAACGCGCAATGTTAAAAATATAGCAGTTGCGGCAAGGACGCCAACCTGCTTACCGCCATATTCCACCGCTTACGCGAACAAAAATCGTGCTCCACAAACTTCCTTTCATTTTTGTTAACTTTGGAATTCAAAGAACAATTCAATTTCTGCCATGTAGGCATTGCCTTAGCGAAACATATGGCCAATTTGCAGTTTAAAGACTTAGATTGATTTAAGGAGCCCAAACTTCCGTTTGTTTCAGCAGATATCATTCCGCAAAGTGAAAAAAAAAATCTTTGGGGCGTGGCGTGAAGCTTGTCATGCGCCGTCATGTTCTCTCACCGTCTGTGCAAATAAATTGTTTTGCCTAAGGCGGGGTACCAGTTGAACTGTTGGGCAAGAGATCAAAACCACTGATAAAAATGTGGTCGTACAAGGAACATTTTTAACAACACTGTGAGTAAAATGGACAATATGCCCAAATCATATTTCATTCATCGCAGTCGGGTGGCCCACAGTTGGGCGATTCACCTGGTACCCGGCGCGGGACAGAAAACACCCAGGTTGCAGCGTGGTTAGGTGACCTTGACCTCAGGGACGGGATTCAAATTCGAGCGTGCAAGCGATCAATGTGATGTTAAAAAATAATAGAAATGACCGTGTAAAACGGACGTTTTGTTTTGTTTTTATAATAGTTTATAAAAACTGCGTCGTCAAAGAACTAATCCATGTAGAGGCCTCACGATTAAGGACAAAAATAAAGAGATTAAATGGTTCTGCCAACGGTAACGACTGTAATAAACAACTATAACTGTCCCCTGTACAAAAAGAAAAAAAAGTTCCAAAACCTCCTCCCTCCTCTTAGAAGAAACTCCGAGATCCGCCCCCGATGCGTGTTCCCGTCCTTTGCTTGCATTGTTACAGAGACTTCAGTGAACTCGACTGTGACATACGCAACACATTCATGCTGAATTCAACGGGCAAGCTTTGGCAAGCTTCACCTATGAAGTATTCTTTGTGTAAAGAAAATCCGTAGGGGGCGGGCAAGATTCCCCCCGCCCTGCTGGATACGCCACTGAGTGGAGCGAAACGCGATGACCATGCGCAGTCATTTTTTACTGACAGTAGGTTGCCAACAGTCAACTAAAATAACGTATGACGTAATGTCTTCGATGCCTTTGACAACGAAGACCCAGCCAACAAATACCAGTGACCCATCGGTGGCCTACGAATGTCATTAGCGCTGGCCTACCGTTAGCCACCGGCGGTGGCCCACTGGTGGATCTGCTCATCGGCAAACTTGTGGCCCACCGGTGGGTCAGTGGTAGCTAAGCGATGGCCGTTTGGGGTTTGGGTGGTGGCTAATAAAGCGGTGGCCAACCCGTTGGATTTGGATGGCTAATTAGTGGCCCCCTGGTAGGTCAGGGGTGGCTAAGCGGTGACCCACTAAGTTAATCAGTAGCCCCCTGGTAGGTCAGGGCTGGCAAAGCGGTGGCCTACCAGTTGGGCTTGCATGGCTAATCATGTAGCCCACTGGTGGGTCAGGGGAGGCTAAGCCGTGGCCCACTAGTGGGGTTTGGATGGCAAATAGTGGCAAATCAGTAGCCCTAACTCACGCGCGGTCAACTAGGCCCAAGCTCACCCAAACACAATGTCACAATTACCGTTTGTTTCGATGTATTCTTGAAATGAAAGCGGCATGTATTTTGCAAAGGGAAACATTTCCATTCGCAATTTTCTGCAGCAACTTACAACCAAGGCATACAGTGAATCATATGAAGAAGCTGGCTGCGTTTTTGCCATCCCGATGTTGCCTCAAATCTCCAAACAAGTCCCACTTGGGTGTATGCTCGTGCAGTGACGTCCTTCTTATTTGCAGAAGTAGGGGAGTATGGTGTACTATTTACGACAAACATTTCTCTCTCTCTTTAGCCTCCCTCCAGGCGACTCAACTACACGACGCGACGGCACGACGGCTCCCTTGCGTCGTGCCGTTGGGTCGCACCACTGCCTTCTTGCCATTACGTTTGTACAAACACGACCCGTCGCGTCGTGCGTGGCGTCGTGCCGTCGCCCGTTGCGTCGTGCTGTCTTAGGTCCTTTCCATGTTGCATTTTTTTCTGCCTAAACGTCGCCCCTTCCGTCGCCCGTCGCGATTGATACATCAATCATTATAACGTGCTTGCAAAAATGTAACATGCAGATCTGATGAGAAATTGAGCGCGAGGCCAAACAGAAAGGAAAAAAAAAGACACCGTCACAAAGGTAGTAGGATCTACAGTGTTTTATTAAGAAAAACGCCGGCGGACTAATATCATTAAAAGTGTGGTGCTGATGAAGTTAAGGAGGAATACTAAACTGAAGGAAGACTGAATATTCTGAAGGTAATAATATAGTGCAAGCTGGGTGGTAACTACCTAAGTTCGTGGTCAAACTTGCGGTCGTACAATTAATTGCAGACAAATTGCCTGGAGGAGTGGCAGAACTACTTGGAAACTGCTGGCATGGACCACAGAGAAATATTTATAAGGTTACAAATCTACCACAAATGGGAACTTCATCAACGGTCTTAAAAAGAAATTGGACGGACATTCGAACAAGGATCAGCCGGGTGAATTACAAAGTGACGAATTCAGGGCTACACTTATTATGTGAGAGCACCTATATACGCAGATTTTCTTTTTGCTCGTTTTCATTTTTTTTCGATAAAATATGACACAACTAATTCAATTTGACGAGCGAATGAAACAACCCCCCCCCCAAAAAAAATCAACGCCTGCTGCTCAGTGCATGTATTTTGCAAGCGCGTCGGACGAAAATGAGAGAAAAGAAAAGAAATTATTGGCTGGGAAATTAAGGAGTGACGAATTCTGAGCTTGCAGTTTCCACTTATTTTGAGAGAGCAGTTCCTAATTATTTGGTTTTTCTTTTGCACTTTTATCCTTTTTTCAATAAAATATGACAGAAATTAATCCCAATCAATGAATCGATGAGATAAAACAATGAAAAATCAACTGAAATAGCATCTACTTTGCAAGAAAGGTGAAAGAAAACAGCAAAGGCGCCCTCTATAAACACCATGAATTAAAGGGCGACAACACACGACGCGCCGCGCGTCGTGCGTCGTGTCATGCGTCGCGTCGTGCTTCAGACGATTTGATGCACGACACGACGCAGGACGCGACGCGTCGTGTGTGTACAAACGAAATGACAAGAAGGCGACGGTTCGACCCGATGGCACGACGCAAGGGAGCCGTCGTGCCGTCGCGTCGTGTAGTTGCGTCGCTTGGAAGGAGGATAAAGAGAGAGAGAAATATTTGTCGTAAATAGTACACCATAGGGGGGTATTGTTTAAAACCTAAAAAAGAGGAAAATGTCGGTGATAACAAATTTTTTGTTGATCACTGAGTTCAGTTTTAAGTAAAACTTGCCACACTGAGAGTACATGTTTTGATCAAAAATTATAATCGTGGGAAGATGGTATCAAATTTTGCGGACTCATTTGTAATAATTCCGAGTTTCCCTTTCCATGCATTGATGTCGAAACTTTATCGATTTCACCTAGACCTCGCAAATACAAAGTTTCTGAAAATGCACCTAAAATTACCAGCACACTTAACTATACTTTGCAGAATATTACAACTCAAGACACGCCGGCATCAGCAAACGAAGCCGTCAAAACAGGTAGACGGAAAACAGGCCCCTAGAGAACAACTTGATTCATATGCATATTATATGCTCAGAATGTGCACAGTTTGTACACTATGCGTCTTAAGCACAAACTTGCATATGACGCACGCCGTTCTACGTGGCCTTCTTTTCTGTCTACCGTTAAAACAAATGTTAGGCCTTCTATTTATAATTTTGGCAATTTTATTACTTCTGATAACAGGTGATGAAATCAATAATAGTCCAATCCAAACTAACGACAGATAGTCCAAAGCACATCACTTTAAACGTACCATGTGTAGAAATTGTACCACTGTCGAATCACAACTGCTCATGCCGTTGCACTCGCAGCTTGCTTGAGAGAGCAACGATTAGGGCTAATTAGGACAGTGAAAAAGCGCATATGTATCACTCATGTTTGCCAATAATAAACCCAGTAACTAAATCCCTACGACGCAACACAATTCTTGTACTGATCCGTGTTCACTGGATAAAGCAGAACTGGTGGATTTTTCTGCCAAACAATACGATTAAGACTCACGATCAATGAGTGAACTGTAACGGTTCTGTGCAGTAGTTCAAACTACCCCGCTTATCAGCAGAGGGGAAAACACTTTGGAATGCAAGGTCACTTCCTGAATCGCTGTGGTTTCGTGCTTGATGTACACCGTAATGTGTCCACCTGATTGTGCAGTACACGCGTGTAGCATGGAGCATGTTGCCTTGTAATACGGGTTAATAACCAATTCCACCCGAGAAGTGTATTTTAAAGGGTGCAGTCCACTAATTCATGTGAGAATATCTGGCCAGCTCATTAACATTAGAAGTGCCCCCACAGTAACTTTTGAAAAAAGAAGATTGTTTGGCCCCTAAAATGGTTGCCAGGATCAACTCCCTGGGTCTTTGAGCTTTCATATGAGAGCAGAAGGGCTAAAAACTACGGTTGACAAATGGTTCTAAGTGCCCGAGAAAGTTGAGGGTTGCCACTTGAAAAATGGCTAAAATCAGACATCGGTCAAAAATCACTTTTCGGGGGTGATTTTGTTTTGTGGGAACAATTAGAAAATTAACTGGTTAACCCACAAAAAATTGAAAAGAAATTGAAATATTAGGGATCAGACAATAATTTAATTTGTGTTTTCGAATCCGCAGGGATGTTGGTATGCAAGTTATTGGGCCCTGAACGGTGCTGTTTTTACCCTGTTTTCAATGGGGCTTAAATTAGTCACGTGGACTGTACTCTACAATCCGCCACATATTTGAAATTGAAAGCGCGGCGCTAGGGGCGACTGAATTAATACAGAAGTGTGGATAAGGAACAGCGCGAAATTAAAAAATTGACATCTCAATTCCTACGTATGTACATGTACATGTATGTCCGCC